GCACTCTTGGCATTTTGGATCAGATGTTTCTGGGTAGTGACGGTGGCCCTATGTGTGCACTCTAGGATATGTGGAGGCATCTGGAGCCTCTCCCCACTAGATACCAGTAGCTCTTCTTTCCACTTATGACGATAACAGTGTCTCCAGACACTGTCAAATGCCTCCTGGTGGGTGAGATCACCCTGCTTGAGAACCACTGATACAGAGGAAGCAGTCAAGTCCAGCATTCAGCCCAAATGCTGTCATCAGCTTGTGTTTCAACTTTGGACAAAATTAATCATCTCTTTGAACCTGGGTTTCCTTTTGTGTTAGGGAACTGATTGGATTTACAACTTCACAGCATCTGCAATTCACCCTTCCCATTCACCAATATTGATTATGAATGCAAGTTAAAGGCCAGGCACTCTGAACAAAACAGGTATGAGCCTTTCCTCATGGGGAACAAAATAACTGCTGCAAAGATATGCATCATCCACAGGTGAACAAAGAGATGTAGATCTGAGCTGCAAAACAGCCTAGGACATGCCAGAAACACATCCTCCCCCCAGGGGAGGGCTTTCTAGCCATCTCAACAGCAGGAAAGAAAACTGTGGCATAACTCAGAACCAAAGCCTTGTAAAATTCTAATTGCACTATCCTCTAAGATCCCACGTGAAGTTATCATGCAATAGCTTGAATTAACTCAAATTCATAGACAGCCGGAAAAAAAAAACCAAACTATTTCAAGTTATTCAAAAGAATCTTCATTTCTGCTCTAGAAAATTTGATCAAAGGAACTTAGAAAAGTAAAAGCAATATATCTTCAAACATTCCAATAATCCATGGCATGGACAGTCTTTTCAGCAGCCTCTCCTAGATTATCACTTAGATAATTTACCCCACAGATGAAGTGCAATCTCATGAAAATGTCTACAAATCACAGAAGTGACCAGCTGGCTCATGTGTTATGCCTGACATATGAACTGTTCAATGGATTATGGGTTTTCCTGGAAGGCTATTTAATGTCTCCATGAGGCAGGTCTGCCTACGTCAAAACACAGGAGCTAATCTTTTCCAGATAGGCAGATTAGATCCCTCCCCAGCCCTTAGTTAAAACTCAGTGACAAAGAAATACCAGTTTTGAATCATCACCATATCAGTGTCTACATTTACTCTCTCCTTTCTCTCAATGGATATGAAGGGAATTAATACACTGAATACCTTTTGTGCAGAGTTCTGAACATTCTCTATCTTCTTTAATTCCAAAGTAATCCCATTTAATATTTTTCATTTTCCAATTCACACACAAGGGAAATGAGGTTCAGAGAGGTTAATTATTTGCTCATAGTTCCATAGACTGAAGAGCAGACATTAGGGTTTCCCTTCCCACTATACACTGGCCAATATAAATACCCCAAACACAAAGGCAATTCTTGAATTACAAAATCCAATCCACCCAAAATGCCTAAAGTAGAATAGAGTAACATTTCAAATTACAGATAAGCCTGTTGCGAGTAGGAAACCCGATGGTAAAGAGCAAAAGACCACCAAATCCTGCTCCCTGGTAGGTGCTTCCCTTTAAGGCAAAAACTGCTGAGCTCTCAATCATCTTACGTAAATACACTTTATAAAAACCAGTGTAACTGGACTCTTTCTTCCTCCCTTTCCAGCCCTGACATGGGAACCCGGTCCACAGGTATCCGGCATCTTTCTTCTTTCTCCACCTTACATGCTAGTCTGCACCCATGTACGTGCCCTAAGTCCCAGATGACCATTTCTTGCCCAATTCTGTAAATGCATTTTCAGCAGCACTTCCTCCTTTTTGAAACTCTGTCCTCCCTGGCTGAGCACTTGTGATTCAGCCACCTGATTTTCCAGCTGATTCTCTGACCTCTCAAGTCTCCCATCTTACATCCACCCTTCAAATTGGACACACTCAAGGCTCCGTCTTCACATATCCCACCACTCTCCATACTTGCTGATGAGACATCCATGCTGAAGATCATCGCTACATCTTCAGCCCTAGTCAAGCTCTGGACTTCTAGAAGATGTAAAGACCCAGTGTTCTGCTTCCTTCTCTGCCCGCAGCCTTCTCTATTGGCTGTGCATGTATCGACACTAAGAAACACATATCAAAGAGGACATGCAATCTTAGAGAAAATGTTTGCTGACTTCAAATATATTTATTCACAGATGCATGTTTTCACTTTTAAGTAATATCTTGATACTAGAGATAAAACTGAAAAAGCAAAATAAGCAAAAGCCAGTGAGATATTTTTCTCACCTAAGAAGAAGAGTATAGTACAATAAAACAAATAATGCTAGTCATTTACAACTCAGTGTTGGGAACCCCTGCCCCACCTCAATGCGACAAATAAGTCTTTGAAATAAGATGTGAGCATTTTTTTTAAGCCAAATGATAAAAGGACAATCATCTTTCAATTGCTGTCAGAAGCTGGTTACCACCTGTTATGAAATTGTAAATCAATGTTTTAATCAAGTGGTGGTAACAGATGACAATCACTAATTTCACCAAACTTCTGGACACTCTACACCAATAAGACAAGCATCCTGAGATAAGACTGTAAAAATGAAGACTGATGTAAAAATATATACTAATTTTTTTGTTTGTTTTTTTTTTGTGAGACCCTCGCCGGCGGCCGGGGAACCAACAGGCACTGCAGAGGCTGCGGGCAGCCTTGCAGCCTAGCACTCAACCGCTGCGCCACCAGGGGAGGCCCACAAAACAATTTTTAAAAATTTTAAAAAACCGTGATTATAAAAAAAAAATTCTGTCTACACTCAACTGAGACAGGAAATTTAAGGCCCCTCCCTGTAGATTTATCGATGTCAGTATTTGAGATGGTGATTTCTGATTTGATGTTAGAAGACTACACAGAAGCATCTATTCTGTTATACATGATAGAAAATAGCTTCCTAGTCTCCCATTTTCAGATATGTCTGAACTGAAATTCTCCATCTTGAAGCATACCGTGAAAAAGTATAAAAGGTCAAAGAAAACATCTTCCAAATACACCAAATTCTTTAGAGGACAAAATAGCATCTGGCATTTAATGTCATGTTCTCTCTGGAGACAGAATAAAAAAACAGGACTTTCAAAGAATGACCTGCTTTCTATTTTTCAGTTTTTAATGAATTCATTAATGTACTAAGGTTTTAGATTTTCATTATCATTAATAAACCATTTCATTCTTGATAATATAATTATTTGAATGTATCAAACGATACAAGTTTTAATTATAGAAATTAACCAGGAAAACTAATAATGTATAAATCATGTCAGTTTTCTACAGAACATTATTAGCTAAAACAGTCATTGACTAAAAAAGTGAATTAAGGAAAAGAACCACTAATATAAGAAAGAATTCAAGGGAATTTTAATTCCGAGTTCTTATTTTTTATAAAACACATAGCCTTTTCTAATTCTTATTTCAAACAAGATTCTCTACTGCTTATTTTTGCTTCAAAGTATTACTTTGCCAAAAAATTACTTCAAAGCATTTATAGTATAAACAACGCAAAGCATTTATAGTATAAATTCCAAAGCTGTATCTTACTTAGTTGAACAGACTAATAAATGAATCAGATATTTATAAAATTAGGAAAAATCCCTATTTATCATATTAAAAAATTAATCATGTCAGTATCACTAATCCTAATCCCTATTTGTCATGTGGAAAAATTAGTCCTGTCAGTATCACTTACTGGATTCTTATTATAAGCTAAGAATTTTGCCAAGCATGTAACCTCATTTAATTCTGTTAATAGTCTTATTAGATAAATATTGTGATTATCCCCATTTTCCAGAAATTGGAGCTTAGAGAGATTAATTATCCAGGATTCAGATACAAATCCTAGAATGTTCTTCCCCTCATTCTCTAAGTTTATAATAGTCTCAAAAGCTTCTTCATTCATTCATTCATTCAAAAACATATTCATTAAAGGCTTTTAAGTATCAGGTACTGTTGAAAGTGCTTGGGGACTAAGTAATGATGTTAAAATATATGTATTTGCACTTCAGAGAGTATACATTCTACTGGTAGAGAAAGTCACAACAAAAGGTACAGTAAGTCAGATGGTAACTACTATGGAAAAATCTATGACAGATTAGCAGAGAGGACAAAATAATGGCACTGAGTGTAGACAGGAGTTGACACATTTATAGAAATTTCTTGTTTCCACACTTTTTCTCATCAATTCTTTATCCTCACCTCCTTCCCTTACCTCACATTCAAAGCCAAAAGTCAAATAAGTAACACTAAAAGTTCTAAGACTAAATACTAGTTTAAAGTCCCAGAAGAAAATCTAAGATGGAAAACAGAAACAGAGTTGAGGAGAGTAGAATAAACTGAGTATTTTCATACATCTGAATATGAGTGTTAATATTACTGTTAAATGAGATATCAAACTAAGTAATTTCTTAAAATTCTATGTAGTTAATCTGTCCCACCCCTTTTTTTCTCTTGATTGTCAAGTGCCTTTAGTAGACAAAGATCTTCAAAGGTTTTTACCATTGGAATTGCCAGTTCTAGGACAGTTCAATGTCTCAGGAAGAAAATCTTTTCCACTCCACTGGTTTGAACCGCAAAAGTCACCCATGTGGGAATGGTGGCAACAGGAGACAAGTCTGACATCATCATGGTTATCCACATTGACAAGGAGCTGATCCTGTCTCCAGGGAAGACATTCTCAGAGTGACGATGCTAAATAGAAATGCTTGGCCATCACACAGAGATGCAAACCACATATCCCACCCCCATCGTCCTTACATCACCAACCACAGGGTTCTGCTGCAGGCCTAGATCTTAAGAGAAAGATTATTTTGAGGCTTGAATGAACATTTACATTTGAAGAATAATTTACATGCCAATTCACAACCTGACAAACAATAATCACACTTCAATAGTGACTGTCCTGACAAACCCATCTTCTGGAGAAGCCCAATGCCTGTTTGGCCATTTGAGTCAGAGACACAACAGCACTGTCATCATTAGCCTTACCTCTGCTGCTAAGTAGTTTCCAGTGGCCAGATGTTTGAATCTGAACAAGCTGTTCCACTGTCCTGCACCCCCACGGCAGGGGTCGTGATGAACAACCTACAGACAGAAAGAACGACAAGGGCTGACAGATAATTCAGCAAGTAAAGGCCACGAGCTTACCTGGCATGCCCCCTCTAGAATGCTGTCTTGTCACATGTAATGCTTTCTTGAGAGCACAGGTGCAAAAAGATGAAACTCTCCATAAAGGAGCAAGAGCTGTAACAGCTAGCTCATTGTGTACGTCCTTCATCTGCAAGCACAGCTTGCTCCAAAAAAGCATGTGTCCCAGGACAACACTGGAGAAATGGTGGGCTTTCCCCACTTGTTATCCAACACTTACTCAACAGGTTTGGTAAGTGTCAAGCAACTGGAAAAAAGCAATGAATACGACCAGCGCTTTCAACCAAAAGGGACTGGCAAGTGCCAGGAAGGACAGAGTGTGTGGTGAAACAGAGCAGGCTGAGGTATGTATGGCAATGAGACAGCCTCTCTCAGGACAGGAGAGCTGAAACCAGAGGAGGAGACAGTCACACAGAGAAAGCACAGGAGAGCACACCCAAAAGCCAAGGCCTGGAGTCTGGGCTAACTTCAATCTTGGCCCTTTCACGTGGGTGCTTTTTACTGCCAACACCTTTGATACCTGCCCTTGAACTGGCTTGCCCCAGATGCTTCTTACAGAAAAGCAGCCAAAGGTCAGAAACAGCTGGTTATGATGGGTGTCTTGGTGCAGAAGCCACGCTCAGGTTTTAAGTCAGATGATGCCAGAGTCCCAGTTCTGCCAATGACTGTGCTAGGATCAGAGCAAGTAACTTAAGATAGGTAAGTGGGCGTCTTTGTGTATAAAATGGGCTTAATTCACAAGACTGCGGTGAAGATTAAAGATCACAAGGCTTAAATATCTGAGGGGCTGGAATCTAGTTCATTATTCTCCCTCCACAGATCACCTTCTTTTTATAATATTCACAGCCACTGCAGCTCCTGTCCTAGCCTCCGGGGCTGCATGCTACTGTATATGACTTCCCAGTGCCTTCTGCTGCACTCCAGCTTCTGTCTTCTACTTCATTGGGTCAAATAACATACTAATTATAAAAACACTTCAAAGGAGATGAAGTCTTATAAAAACACTCTCCCTGAGACTTTAAAATCTACCCATCTTTCAAAGACCACTTCTCAAATCAAACTTCTTCGTTGATCACACCAGCTACTGTGATCTCATCAATGTTTGAACTGTTACTCCTTTGGGGGAGGTACAGGCACCTTTGAGAATGTGAAAAATCTATAGGTTGTCACACACATACACACACACACACACACACACACAGAGTTTGCATACACAAATAAGTTGCAGCTAACCAACATGAATCCCAGGCTAAAACTATCCTTACACTAGAGAGAGGTCTAACCAGGAAAGACTCCTTCCAAGGGACAATGTGTAGACAGGAAAGGGAGTGTGTTTCCCCACAATGAAGTGATTTTGGAGGATGCTTTTGGCATTAATGGGCCAAGATATTACATATCCTGCGATTCACAGGAGAGCTCACCCCATGGTAGGTATTGTCTGGGGCACCTTCGGAGTATCCCGTGCTCCCCTATATCCCAAACCAGCAGGGTCCTAAGGAACACTTCTAGAAAGGAAAATAGGGCCTCCCCTGGTGGCGCAGGTGGTTGAGGGCAGCACTGTGAAGCTGTCCGCAGCCTCTGCAGTGCCGGTTCTTTCCCAGCCAGCTGGCGAGTATCTCACATGGTGCAGTGGACCTCTCCTGTCTCGCCCGCTGCTCCCCTCAGCAGTGTATTTGGTCAGTCTGCCTGTTCTGTTCCCCACTCTGTCTCTGGTGAATCCTCTCAGCCTCCCATGCATCTGGCCTGTACCCTGGCTCTTCTATAAATAAATAAATAAATCTTTAAAAAAAAAAAAGAGAGAGAGGAAAATAGAAGGTTCTAGTAAAAGGTGTAGCATCTGGCCAAGGTAGGTGCCTCCAGAGAGGGGTAGGCAAGGAGCCCCAACACCCCAAAGAGAGGTCTAAAGATTCAGTCCTTCTAATAATGTTGAAGCCTCATTTCCTATTGGATATACTTCCCTGCTTGAAATACCTGATGCTCAGGCTTCCTGACTCATGCCTGGTAGACACAGCACACAACAGAGAAACATCCCACAGCCAAGCCTTTTCAATGTCCCATCACCAACCCCACATACCTGGGATAAACCCCACCTGATCATACTGTATGTAACATGGTGGGCCCCAGGAAAAGGGGAGGTTCCAGGTTCCCTGCCCCACCCAAGGGAAGGTGGAGCTGAGCAGGGAGGAGAAGAAGTTAGAGAGGAGACTGGAGAAGGAAGGAAGAAGGATGGGGATCAAAAAGGAGACCTGGAGGAGGCACATGGAGTGGAGAGACATGTGAAGAAGCTGCGCTTGCTTCTTGGCCTTGGACTGGCTGAAACAGATGTGGGTGAGAGACCATGGGAGGTTAACAATGGCAGCTTTGATTTTGATTTTGCTCTTTTCCTTCCAGACTTGTCTGGCTGTTTCTGACCTTTTCTCTGGGTCCCTGCTGAAAGGTGCTCTAGACTTGTGGCAGCTTTCAGGCCTTGCTTTGGGCTAACCCTGTTTGGCTGGACATTTACCCATGAGGGATGGGTAACTGGTTGCTTGATTTGGAAACCATATTCTTTGTCTTTTCTTTGTTGCACACTAATTGTCTTAAAGTTCCTTTCTATTAAATGTCTTACACACTAGAGTATGTTTTGTCTTAATGAGGTGGATGGCAGAACCTATTTAGAATGGGTAAGTCTGGGGGCTTTGAGGTGACCCTCTCCGTGCATTGTAGCAATACGTAATGTTTTGCTAAATTTCATTTGCTAGTATTTTGCTGAAGCTCTTTTTGTATCAATATTCATAAGGAAATATATTGTTCTGCAGTTTTCCTCTACTGTCTCCATTTCATTTCAGTATCAGGATAATGGTGTAAAATGTATAAGGCAACATTCCCTTTTCTTGGATTTTTAGAAATATTTGAGCTACCTACCACAAATATAAATGGGTAATATTTCAATACAAAGAAGACCTTACATCAAATTGTTACCTGAGCAGTCCCACAATTTAAAAAAAATGCATACAAAGAGGGATGATTAAATGAAATCAGACATTACCTCAAAATTACTGAATAATTTATTCACCCTCTCCAGTCTGACTGCCTAATGCATTACTGAATTTCCAACTATGTATTTTGTTGGGAAGGTTTTCAATTCAGTTACAGCAAAATTTATAAAATGAATGGTAAATATTCACAAGAGCTACAGGAAAGGCAGGAAACTCACTGTATTTCATTACTCAAGCCCTTAAATGAGAGCTCACATTATTGCTATCCCTATATTTAAAAAATCTTTTTAACACAAGAAATAAACTGTGTAAATGTCTGTTTTAATCTTGTATTATGCGGGGATTACTGGGTCTCACTGTGATATGGGAAGCGGAGAAGCACACTTATAGGAAGAGTAATACAAGGCTTTGGGGAGGTTGTTCTCCCCACTTCTCAAGTCCCTGTCACCTGTTGCAGGACATGATCTTCAAATTTGTTGAAAAGTAGAGTCTTTCCTGCAAGCTAGAGACTAAAAGTGCACCACAACATGGAGTGAGGTTTCCAGTAGAAGATTTTTTGGGGTAGCATTTTATCTCTAAGTTGTATAATAACTTGAATTATTTGGATGCTGCATTTATAATTAAGACTCAGTTCATTTGCATAAACATCATACCTGCTCACTTTCTCCATTTCAATAATCTATATATGATTTGTCATGTTTTTACAGATTCAATTATGGTCATTTCCCTTTTTTAAAAACCAATAAACAAATAGGTCTATTCTGTATTACTTCTCCTAACAGTAATTATTTGAGGGCGTTTTCACTTTTTTGCACATGTATAAAATGTTTCCTGATCCTTCTCTTCTCCCTCTTTCCTCAAGTCCAAATATAGTCATCAAGGACAGATAAATAGCCTATCTCCTAAAGCACTTATTTACATGCTGCAATACATACTATTTTTTTATACGTTACTTTCCTTTCATTCCTTCTTTATACTAAATTTTAGGCTTTTTATTAATTTTAAAGCAGGATGATACAGGATATTAAATTAAAAGTCACAGCACACTGTGAAAGGGGAATGATGGGTTTTAAATGGTTGAGAATCAATAAGCCTAAAGGTCCATTAAATCAAGATGCAACTTAAGGAACACTGCTTGTAGAGGGCAATAGTGACTCATTATTCTTAACAACATTTTACAATGGACTTTTAAAAAGCAAAATCCTGTATGTACCAGGACTTACAGAGTGAGTGTGTGTGTGTGTGTGTGTGTGTGTGTGTGTGAGAGAGAGAGAGAGAGAAGAGAGAGAGAGAAGGGGGGGTGGGTAGGGAATAGATGAAGAGAGAGAGAGAGAGAGGGAGAGAGGAGAGAGAGAGACTTTAACAGTCATACCAATGAAGGGATACAGTTGGTTCACAATAATCATTATTTCAGGGGATTCTTATAAAGGATGCCTATAACAGTAAGAACATACAGCCTAGTGACTCGTAGCACTTTGAGCTCGAAAGCCCCAACTCACCTCTATTTCCCAGAGTGCTTTGGAACTCGTGGCAGAAGTAGCTGACTGGCGCAAGGTGGTGCGAAGAAAAATGTGCTGCTTTTTCTCATATTCATCGCAAGTCAGAAACTTCTCTTGCTCAGCATGAAACAACCTAACAACGTCGCCCTAGAAAAACAGATCAAGAAACAGTGTATTTCCAACCCAAGTCTGAACAAATAGACAAGAGAAAAGGGGCTCTTTCTGATTTTGGTACTTGAGACATTCCTGTTTGTTACCTGGTTTGTAATTATTTTAGACATTTCAAAATATGGGGTGGGTGAGGAGGGTTATAGAAGCACTCCCCACAAGGATAAGGTTTGCAGTCAATGTGCCAAGTTAAGAACACGGGTGGTATACCCAGGTGTTGCACCAAGAAGTTCAATGCGACCACCTTTATTGCTCCAGCAAATGTCCTAGGGGGCACACACTTACTCCTTTTAGCACGTCTTCTCGATAGGAACTATATTTCATGAATAATGTGATTTTCCAGCTAGTGTTGCAATTAACAGCATTCACCTAGCAACAAGAAAATGTTAAATTAGCACTGCAGATTCCACATTATACCAGAAGTCATTCCTTCCCCAGTAAAAAGGTGTAAGAGGACAGCTTTGGACAATGTACTTTGATCACAAATATATTCAAAGGACTATTTCAAAATAGTAAGAGCTAATTGTTACCTGAAGTTACCTGAGGAAAATGATTGAACTTAAGTAGAATTACACTTAGGACAATAACACAGAAACTATGTGATTTTTTATCTCTCAAGAGAAAATTCCTTTCCTCCTGAACTTACCTCTTTGCACCCTGGATTATCCAGAAGCTCGATGTTGCTGGCATGTAGAGGCTGTCCTGCATTCACAGGCATCAAAACAACTTTATCTCCTACAACAATCTAGAAATCAGAAATAAATCGCATTTGAGATGCTGCATGGATCCAGGATGCTATCACTGAAGCTAAAAATAACTACATAGAACTCCTTGCTATTGACCTAACAGCTGGCCTACCCATCCCCCATACAAATTTTATTTCCATTCCTTTTTCTCACTGAGGCAAAAGGTCTTCTGACAAATGATCCCATAATGTCTCACAGTGACTGTCAGTCTGGATTCATTAAGCTAGTGTAGATCTTTTTCCTATTTGTCTCCCATTTCAAAGAGAGCTTTCTGACCATTGATAAATAGGTCACTACCCCTCCGTAGCAGGTTATGCCATGAGCATAGAAGCGAGAATAAATGTGTCTGCCACAAAAACTTATCTGTCTACACAAAGAACCACTCCAAGTGCGAGTGGTTTTAAATATTTGTAATATCTCTGGGAGTAAAGGCACATCTCCTCCATAACCTTGGAAATTTATTAAACTTGCTAATGTCAGCTGGACTGAATATAGGAAATGCAAAATAGGTATGACCTTGCAGAAAAAAGTTTGTTGTTATTGGGGCCTCAGACAGATGACTCACTTTTATCTTAAACACCCAAAACGAATATTGTTCCTTAAACCTGGTGTTCCTTTTAAATAAAAATTAAAATCAGTTAATAAAAACTGCTCTACAGAACTAAGCCTCAGCTGATTTTTTTATTTATGCTATCATCAACAATGTCAATGTTATCTTCAAGTAAATTTATTCACAATTCAAATTGTGAGGATATTAAGTTATGCTTTCTTATGGATAGCGTTAAATTGTGTAGTTATGAAAATCACTTTTGTGGTCAAGTTCTGCTCTAATATTTGTTACTGTAGTACCAACTCTGTTATCTATAGAACTGTTCATCATCTCAGAAATGAAAACCACTGCCTTCCCTTTGCATTTTTCATACCAAATGGAATATTGGAAGAGATTAGTTTGACAGGTAATTGTAAAACAAGTTAGGATTCAAACAAAAAAAAAAAATAAACAGGAATTCTCCCTGTGTTTTAACCTAGACCAACACTGAACGAATGCAATGCCATATTTTCAATATAAATTAACCTTTTTTTAGATGTAGGAGTTGACAATTCATCTATAGTACTGCTGTCACAAACTGTATCGGGAAACTCAAGCATGATAGTCTCAACCTCACTAGTCAAGCACAAGGTGATCTTCGGTTTGCAGAAACAGCTCTGTCATTTACAGGACTGGTCTCTATCCATCACTCACTGGCAAAGATCAGACAAATGCCGGGACTCACCAAGACCTACCACAGACTCTTTCTGTATACAGATAAGGAAAGATCATGCAGAAACAGTGTTAAGTGAGAGAGTGTGAGGGAACAAAGCTGGGCTATCTCAGGAGGCAGAGAGTCAGAGTGTGTGCCCTGGTTACCTGGCAGGAGGTTAACTGGAAGGAGGAAATGAGAATTGGGGAGAATCACTTCACAATGTGTCTTTACACTGTTTCTAACTTCTAAACATGAATTGGTACCTATTTTAAATTACAAACAAAAAGCAACTGAAGATCAACATGACAGAAATGTATTTCCAACATCCCCTCAGAAGACAAACCCCACTTTCTTGCACGTGACACCACAGTAGTTCTAAGCCTCAGAGCCACAGTAAAGGCTGCGAAGTTACCCACATCCTGCCAGGGGTACACCTGGTCTTTCAACTTCCTGAAGAATAAGGGGATTTGGTTTACTGTGCCATCCTTGTCTGCAGCATGTAAATATTCACCAGTAACTGAAGATAATGACATATTTTTAGCTATAACTTTCCAATTAAAAGCATTTCCTGGATGCCCCTCAAGCCATTGGTGAATAGCTACTATGTCGCTACAGTTGCCTGTAAGCTTCGAGTTGGGTACTATATTTAGTTCAAAATACCATTCAGGGTCAGCCATTTAGCTAAAATATTTCAAACTCCAAGGGTTCATGATTAGTATTCACAGGAAAATGAAGCATTAATCCACTCATTTCCAGGTTCTCCTCTTGTTCTTGGCAGTGCTTACTTGTACTGGCCAAGCTGAGGAGAGCTTGCAAATGAAATAGCCAGGCTCACAATCCTAGGCCACATAAAGAACAGAAAGAGGTGCCAGGAAAAGTGAGAAAGTGTGCAAGAAACAGACCTTTTACTCAGGGAGTCTACACCTTATTAGACAACTTGGTAAATATGGGACTTGAGGATTTTCTCAGAGGAGTATATAGCATGGGACCCCGGGTCAGGGTGAAATTCCTCCTGAGAATGCAGAACTCGAGGGCAAGGTCATGCTCCGCCACATAACCTTCACCCTAGCGCAGAGCGGAGAGCAATTCCAAAAGCATTCCTGTTGATTCTGTGTAACTGCCACAGAGATTTAGGCTGGGATTTGACTGTGAATGAAGAGTAACACATGTCAGTATCAACTGCCCTTCATCTGAAGTGAAGAGAACATGATTGTATAAATGCCAGGTTCTAGACTCACCTAGAGTCCAAGGTGTCCAGACTTGGAAAATAGCAAAATCAACTTGCTTTATGAAAAGGCTCTTTCTCTAAGAGTTGATTAAAACTCAATTAAAAAAAAATAGCTGGCCCTTTCTAATTTTTTAAACCTACCACCATGGCAAAGAACTAATGTCTTCTTAAATCAACACTTAAAAGGAAAAATTAATGTCCAATCATACAAATCATAGGAGGAATGTTGTGCGGGTCAAGACTGCCCCAGGGGCGCTGACCCGACAAGTGAAAGAGAAGGGAGCCATGAACCTATTGTTTTCTCAAAAAACTTCCTGTCCCACAATCCTCTAAGACCGACAATCAGGGTAGAAACCACTGATTGCTGAGGACGGAGCACTTCTCTCCCCAGACTACCAGCAGGTTTATTCTCGCATTTCATTCTGTAGCCAATCATTTTGCTAGATACAATCAACATCACAATTTAATAAACTGTCGAAAAAATATTTTCTTTTGTTCTTTGAATTGTGCTTATTGAGGTAATGCTGACTTAAAACATTGCTCATCTTAGGGGTACAGGTTTGCACCTCTGCGGATGTATGTTACTCCACCACGTCCCCCACACCAAAGCCCCCATCCTGCCCCCTTTGCTCCCTGCCCCCTTCCTGGTAGTCTCTGCTCTGCAGTCAGATTTCAAGGGCTTGCTGGTTTGGCTTTGTCTGTTCCTTTGCTTTGTTTCTCTCTAGTCCACCTATGTGAGGGAAATTGTCTGTATTTGTCTTTCTCCTTCTGACTTAAAAACATAATTTTAAAAGTCCTCAGAATCTTGTAATCCTCTTCCTTAGTTTAATATGTGTTTAAATGAAACTGCTAGTCATGAAGTGATAGCCTTTCCAAATGCCTTCAATAATACACAGTGGGCTTGTAGTTCAGAAATATGCTACCTACTTCTAAGGGAGAAAGTGAGGGTTACAATACAATATTTATATGGCAGATATAGGGGTGTGGTGTGCAAATGCTTCCACAGCAACCTTAATCACATACAAGAGCTATACAGTGGTGAGCAAAGACATTGAGCTACTTCAGCAAAAAAGCAACATAGAAAGTTGCTGAAGCCATGCTTTCTGGAGCACATCTCGGGAGGAGGGTATCTCCAGAGCACTTGACAATGACACCGTTCCTCTTCATCAAGATGGGTGTTTGGGTGGTAGGTTGGGGTTTTCACCCCCAGTACAAGTAATTATTTGAAATAGTTCATTACATTCAACTCTCTGTGGACCCTGTAAAGGCGTTTCTGAGCAGGAAAAGGAACAGATTGAAGGGGTAAACAAGACAGGATAAGTTAACAAATCCACAGCTAATCTAAAGATCCCAATTTATTCAATCATTTCATTTCATCCCTTCAGAATTTGAGACCGGGTTAAGTCTTTCAAAGACAGGGACACTGTATTTGGTGGGAGGTGGCCAGAGGAATGACACCAAAGGACATCAGAGGACATATGGTTGACAAACCATGTAAAGGGTCCCTGAAGAATTGAGAGTTGATTGTAATTAACGATGCATTGAAATTAAAATATATATCATGCTCACAGCACATAATATTTGATGCCAGAAGGAGTAAAAAAAAAAGTATTCCTAAATTTTTAAGGAATTCACAAGACAGAAGTGCATCACATTCCTGCATGCCATGCTGCTCCCAAGCCTTACCGAAAGAGGGTGTCACCAGATAACTTATTAACCAAATTAAAGCAGGAAGCTCGCATCCTGTGGAACTGAACTTGAAGTCAAAATTCACTGGAAAATTAGATTCACTATAAAAGAAGACAGCTCTAAGTCAAGAAATTTTAAATGTAATCAAAGTTGTGATTAAGAAAACCTCATCAGAATAATTATATTTTTATATTGCTTAGAATTTATAATGTTAATTTTCAAAAATCTCAGCTATTTTTTTCTTCATCACCTGACCCAATATTCGTAAGGCGCTCTATTTATGAAGGTCATGCAGGATTCACTGTCAGCTGCGGTCAGTAAGCTTCTCCCACATCCTAGAGAATATCACTGCTTATTTGTCCATCACACACAAAAATATCAAACCACCGATCCTAGCAAATTATTTCACATCATTTTTATCTTCCCTCATTTATAAAGTAGCAGAAAATATTTTAGCTACTACTAAGATGTCCATGCCATAAGCTGCACCATGTATTCCATAGCATAGTGTCATCAACAAGCAGGTACCAATGTCAGCACCTCCGACACTGAACATCTATTAAGATGCATGCGCCTCCCTGGTGCCCTAGGGGTTAAGTGTCAGCACTATCACCACTACAAACCGAGTTTGATCCCCAGCCTGGTAGCTGACCCAGATGGCGCAGCAGACCTCTCCCATCTCACCCGATGCTCCCCTTAGCAGTGTATTTCAGTAGATCCACCTGTTCTGCTCCCCATTCTGTCTCTGGTGAAGGCTCTAACCCACTGAACCTCTGAACTATACCCCAATTTTTCTAAGCATAAATAAATAAATATTTTTTGAAAAAATGGATGGACTGGAAACAGCAGACCCAAGAGCCAATGAAGTATCATCACGACTCAGTTAATCTTATGAATTCAAAGGGGTGGACAACAATTCTTAAGCTCTTCTCTTTCCCCTTACAATCATGCTCCCTTTTGACCAGGCAATTAGGAAACACTGCCTCTCTTGTAAAAGACTCCACCAATATTAGGATTAGTTAAGTTCTTTCACACTAGTTCTAGCTGGAAGATGATTTTAAATCAATCTGAGCTTGGTTGTTTTCATGCTTCATAACCACAGTTCATACTATAAATAAATGCTTTTAAGCTATTAAAGATATTAATGTAAAACATGTGTGCATTAAAAACTGCATTTCCTTTCTCTGTACTTTCTGAATTCTCTCACGCATTAGGAATTACTGTCTTTCGGAATGCACTGTTTCTCTCTTAATTTTAGATTGACGTACATTGTCGCCCTCGCTCCGCAGCTTCCAGAAGGGATGAATGTAAAACCAAGACCCTTCGTTCCCAGCTGCATCCAAGGACACACGCATGGCATTCTTCTCCAGGAGGGCAGGCAGCCTCTTGTTGACAGTCAGGTACTTGTTGCTTTTTATATGCAGTAGCTGCAAGGAAAGATACAGATTACCACCTCTGCTACTCTCTGTGACAAGGATCTGTTGATGCATGTGTCACAAACCTGCCTAAGGGAGCTCTTTTCAGACTTCACACTCACCAGCTCCCAAGCTGACGTCCTTGGGGCTCCTCCTGACTTCGACCCTTACATACTTCTTGAGAATGAAGTGGGCACATGAGGGGAATCACCCAGGGGACACCTTAAAGTGATTTCCACCTACTGATAAATAATGGGATCAAACTAAGCTTTCCCAGGAAACCTGAGGTTCCCCCAAACCACAACCTCTCTCAATTCCTTCATAGCCATAAAAACTGAATATAACACAGAAAAAGAAGGCAACAAAATGATGCTCTGAGTCACTGAGTGCGCCAACCACCCTGGGCCACTGTCCACTATTTCAGCTAGGCTGGGCCACTTCCACAAGGGGATGCTGACACCCACCCCCTCAAGGGTATGTAGAGGCATCATTCCTCAGAGACATTAGAGTTAGGAGTGAAAATCTTTGCAAAATATTATTCTACTAACTGAGCAGGAAAGCTAAAACAAATAGCCATCCTGTCCATTATTGCAATTATTTCAAGGAAGAGTGGTCATTCTAAAATCTACACTATAAGAAGGAAGTTATCTCAAAATAAAGGGCAGTTCTTGGGCCTCCCTGGTGGCACAAGGGGTTAAGACACAAACTATGAAGTGGTCTACAGCCTCTGCAACGCGAGTTCGATCCCTGGCCAGCCAGGGAGCAACCCAGATGGCACAGCAGACTTCTCCTGGCTCGCCCACTGCTCCCCTTAGCAGTGTATTTCAGTCAGTCTGCCTGTTCTGTTCCCTACTCTGTCTCTGATGAATCCTCTCACCCCTGCACCTCTGGCCTGTACCCCAGTTCTTGTATGCATAAATAAATAAATCCTTAAAAAATATATATTTAAAAATAAATAAGTAAACAAACAAGCAAATAAATAAAGGGCAGTTCTTTAATTGGGGGAAAAAACACAACTTTTTTGGGAGACTTATTATAATTCCTCTGGTTCTAATTTTAGCACAAACCCACAAAAGCCTGCCTAATGGGCAAAAGCAATGCCTGGGGGACCCTCCACACAGGAGCACAGAGCTCAGCCCCTAAGTGACCTCACACAAACGTGCCCTTCCAGTTCTTGACCAGAAGCATAAGCTGTGCTTGCTTGCATTTCACAGCATTCAAAGCTGGTGAGAAAGTCCATTTACAGAGTGTGACCCAGGGGCCATGCAGTCTCTCCCTCTACCAGCTCTCATTAGATTATGTCTTTGTCAGGGAGCCGCAAACCTGCTCTCTCATCTTGTCCATCAAAGAAGGGCTTTGGCTGCCCTGCGCCCAGCACTGCGTCACTGACCAGTAACAAAACACGGTATGTTTAAAACAGCTCTGTGAAACACCTCATTGTAGCATTTACTGCAAGGAAGCTGTTAGGGTTATTGTTTACTGTATCACAGTATCTCTTTGTTGGAGAAACACTTCCCTGGTCTTCCTGGGATCCTAGGCTTTGAGGTGATAGACATGCTTGCAAATGCTGGAATATATCATGCTTTTCCTCCAGCTCATCAGGCAATAAAAAGCCTTCTGGCCAAAATTTACCAGACCTTACAACATGCTATTTATAAACACACCTCACCCCAGACTTCTCCTTCTTCATCTGTTATTTTCCCTTTGACCCAGATGTTGCCTTTATTCCTATTTCATCTTTTTATGTGGTATGTACTTTTCAAAATGCCTAACATTCTTTTTGGATCAAGGTGGGGCATATATTAACAAATAACCAAGTAAAAACCTAAAAGATCTCAGCACAGCACAAGAAAGGAATGCAGTTGAGGTGAATCAGTGTGTATACTAACAGAAGTGATAACTCAAGCCTCATTTCCACTGAAAAGTACAATTTGAAAACTTCCCTCACTCTGAAAAATTACAAGATAGTATGTTACACACTCACCCCATTAATTTTATTTATTTATTTATTTTTTTTTAATAGAGGCATGCTTTATTTATTTATTTGTTTGTTTGTTTATACATGCACTGGGTACAGTCAGAAGCGCGGGAGGGTGAGAGAATTCACCAGAGCCAGAGCGGGGAGCAGAGCAGGCAGAAGGACCGAAGTACACTGCTGAGGGGAGCAGCGGGCGGCAGGAGAGGTCTGCGCGCCATGCGGGACCCTCCTCCGGTGGCCGGGGAGCAGCCGGGGATCGAACCGGCGTCTCGGGCGCGGGCAGCTTCGCAACCCAGCGCTCAACCGCTGCGCCACCGGGGAGGACACCCCATTAATTTTAAAGGACTACCTTATTATAGGTCTTTAGAAATCAGGGTTCCCCATCTTCTTTCTAATGTAATAACTTGTGTGTACATCCAGATAAGCTCACTTCTCTATGTGTATACACACATTCTTTCCCAAATATTGAGTACTGTGCCAAACAGTAACAGAAAACATCAATATCTATTATGATATAATAAATATATTATGATATAATAAATATATTATGATATTTATGCCAAAAATTTAACTAACCCAGTTTGGCAATTACACCAAATGCAATTACTCATATTCACTCTTTAAGGTAAAGAAAATAGACTTACTTGTATGACATTACTGTATTTCACAATTTCTCCCAATAGTTTCTTATTTTCAGATTCATTTTGTTTTTGTTCCAGTTCTGCAGCATGCTATAAAATGATTATCAATATTCAGTGTAAAACACAGTAAACAGCATAATAATTGACAAAGACAAACATTTTTTTTAGGAACAAAGAATTCTTCCATGAATAAAATAAGCTCCTGGTTTCATTTTGGGGGAGGAGAGGGCAATAAAGAAATGATTATAATACAATGTGATAATTCTATCAATTTAGAGCCTAAATATGGTAAAAAATATTGGGGGCAGAAACAATTGCTGGTATGGGTGTAGAGAAAAAGGAACACTCGTACACTGTTGGTAGGAGTGTAGACTAGTTCAGCCACTATGGAAAGCTGTGTGGAGGTTCCTCAAAAAACTAAAAATGTATCTGCCATAGGACCCAGCAATTTCATTCCTAGGTATCTACCCAAAAAAACACCAATTCAAGAGGAAATCTGCACTCCTATGTTTATCGCAGCACTGTTGACAATAGCCAAGATACTGAAACAACCTAAATGCCCCAAAACAGATGACTGGATCAAGAAGATGTTGTATATGTACACAATGGAATACTACTCAGCATTCAAAACAGATAAACTCATGCCATTTGCAGCAACATGGATGGAGCTGGAAGGGATAATCCTAGGTGGAATAAGTCAGATGGAGAAAGAAAAATACTGAATGGTTTCACTTATAACTGAAATTCAGAGAAACCAAACAAAGGATCAGACAAGACAAACTTTAAAATCAACCCTTGAAAGCTGACCATAGATCTGAGGCATGGGGGAGAGGGGAGGGAGGAAGCAATAAAAACAAGGGGGAGCAGAACACAATGGACTCTGGGTGCTTTGGTACTAGAGACCTACAGTGACCAAACCTAAAGGGAAAAATCTTTGCCTGTCAAAAAATTAACAAGGATGTAAAATAATGGTACTTCATTAAAAGATAAATAAAAATAAAATAAAAACATTTGGGATGCCTTTATGTTGGAAATTTCAGTAATGTACTAAGTTCTTTGGTCTCAAAGAATTACTTTCAGAAGGAATACTGCTAGAGAAACCATACCAAATAAGACAGTAGGTTTCAAAAGTAGAATTTCAAAAGTCTCAAAACACAGTTTGAATTCTGAAAGAAGGAGTTTAAGAAGCAAAACGAAGTTTTAACAAATTTACACTTAGCTCAAACAATAGACTGTCAATTTTTCCTATGGTCTTTCAGGACAAAATTCAATGCCAAGTAAAACAAAATCGGATTTGGTATTCCTCCAGAGATCCCAAATTGGTCTTCAGTTTGATGTGAATCTTTAAATCAATCTGGCACACCCAAAAAAAACAGCTGCAGGTATGTATTACCTGCACGCCAGGAAATCAGCAGTCACACCCTATAACTTGAAAGTTCCTTCCACTTCTGAAGGATTGCTGCACCTATTCCAAATCTCTGTGTATCGAGTGAAATCGCTAAGCTATGAAACAGATTTCTCGTTACTGCAGTTCTCTCGGGTAGTGGGGCCTTACCTGTAATTTCTTCAACAAGGCCGCTTCTGTATGGTTCCCTTGTTTGGCCTGCTTAGCTTTCCAGTACTGTTTCTGGGCAGAATATCGGTTCATAGGGCACACCTTGAAGAGGCAGTCTGCAACAAACCAAAAACAAAACATAGTAACTGAGGCAACCAGTCTTTCTTTCTTAGAGTTCCCTTTTAGCCTAGCACTGGAACCCCTGAGTCTAAAGACATTCAAAGTTCATCTACGCCAGCCCCCAGTCAACTCTTAAATTCCTTAATATATTTTCTAAATAGTATTTAGGCAATTAAATGCCCGCTTCTTCATGAGTTTGGTTTTATAGCTAGTGCATAAAGAAATCAAACCCTTGCCACCACTAGAGTATAAGTCACTTCTTTATTATAAGGAAGCCCTAGTTGGAGGAAGTGATAGAATGAGATGAGGGACTTCCGTTCCCTCAGCTGACCTTGCACATTCATTACTTAGTTGTGGGATATGTCTGTTGGCCAAGGTGATGCAACAATCCATCACTCTCAACCATCACACTTTTGTCTTCAACTCCCCAAGTTTCCACATACCTTGGGTGAGTATGGTGTGGAAATCCATGGTGCGGTGTGTCATAAAGAAAACACAATGCCAAATAAAGAACAAAATATCTAAAACAAGCTTAAAGTCCCAACTCTATTACTAACTATCAAGATAGGCAAACGTATTGTTAAACTAATAATCCTATTGGAATAACAGAGTTAGTGCTGTCTCTAAGTCAAAAGCAAAATTTACTTTTTTCTTTCTAAAGAGAAAATTCAAAGTTTGACTAAACAGGGTTCCCATATATTAATTATTTTGCATGTTTCCAGAATGCATTACAATCGAGAATAAAGATCAATCCCCAAGATCCTATGACAAAGGAACAGAGACAGAGGAGATGCAAACATTTTCATTTTTCTAAAAAAGTGTAAGAATTCAATTTCAGTATAAGAAATTTACTTTGTTTGATGTTTTAATATTTAGAATCATTCTCATTTTTCAAATGTGTATCAGAAAAGTAAAATTTCAGTTGACTCAAATACCCATTTTAGCCACATTCTTGAATGTTTATATATGTATGTTTATTCTATTATTCTCTTTTAAACTAAATATAAAATTAAATGATGGACTTGACCTCTTTTCAAACTTCACTTTCTTATAGTTGTGATGGCACATAAAAGGTCAAGAAATAGAACTGCATGATTTTTTTTAAAGATTTTATTTTATTTATAAAAGAACCGGGGTACAGGCCAGATGCGCGGGAGGGTGAGAGGATTCAACAGAGACAGAGCAGGGAAGGGAACAGGCAGACTGATGAAACACACTGCTGAGGGGAGCAGCAGGCAAGACAGGAGAGGTCTGCTCGCCATGTGGGTTGCTCTGAGGCTGGCGGGGATGGAACCGACGCTGCAGAGGCCACAAACAGCTCCATAGCGCTGTGCTCAACCGCCTACGCCATCAGGGAGGCCCAGAACTGTAAGATTTTTACAGCATTTTAAAAATAAAGAACAGGGGCCTCCCCTGGTGGTGCAGGCAGTTGAGCGCAGCGCTGTGAAGATGTCCGCAGCCTCTGCAGTGCGGGTTTGATCCTGGCTGGCCGGCAAGGGTCCCACCTGGCGCGGCAGACCTCTCCTGTCTCACCCATTGCTCCCCTCAGCAGTGTATTTTGTCCGTCTGCCTGTTCTGTTCGCCGCTCTGTCTGTGGTGAATCCTCTCATCCACCCGCATATCTGGCCTGTACCCCAGTTCTTGTATAAATAAATAAATAAAACTTTAAAAAATAAATACAGAACAAATCATTTTTTCCCTATAACTCGTACTATACAATAGAAATTCTATTCCCCAAACACACACACATAGGTCATAGAAAATGATTTATTAATTTCTGGTTTAAAATTTACTGATGTGGATGAATATTTTATAAGTAACAGAAAACAGATATTTTCTAACTGCTAAAAATAGGCTGAGAGACCATCCAATGACAGAATTACAATGATACAATGACAGAACAATCACCAAGTGACACAGACACGTGGACACCAAGTAACAAGACCCTGCTTTCCTCAGCAGCCTATCCTATAATCCTCAAGAATCATTTCCTACAAATTAGCAACAGAAGAATATACCAATCTCTTCCAGCACAATTATAGAGGCTGTTTACAGAAATCAAAGCAGTGTGCTCCTGATTGGAGGCAGCAATTATTTGACTGTCCTATTCTAGGCAAGTGACCAAAGTGCTGTTTTAGAGCAGCAAGACCACAAATCCAGACACTGAAGGCTGCAGTGGCCACTTCCCACAAAAGAAAAAGCTGCTCCTCTTTGTGATTTCCCACCCCTGATTAACTGCATTAGGAAATGATCCTTTGATGGTGAAAATATTTTGCCTGAATTCTAGATTATGTGGGGTCTTGCGGTAACAAGCAGATATGCACTATGCTCCTTATCTTGGTGCCCAAGGTCACTGTGAAATGACATGGAGCATGCCACCCACCCATGCTTGCTCAGCTGGTGCAGGGGTGCCAGGTCTCAGACGCCCTCCTTGGAAAGGTCGCAGTACAGCAGCTAAGACATGTCCTCTATGGGAGGAAGGAGGAGGCTGTGCGGTGAAGCTCAGGAGGAGTCCTGGGCTGCAAACATGCACACGATCATCTTCACCAGGAGAGGCCAGGAGAGTCCTCCCCAGAACAAGATACAAGGCAGGTGTAAAGGCCAGCCCCCATGGGGCACAGGGTTAAGGGGGTCTCGAGGCACAGAGGGGAGGGGCAATCCAGACAGAGCCAACAGGGGAGACCAGGGCAGAGAAAGGATGCACAGAGACACAGACAACCTGCAAGAAACCACCAGGCAGGCTGTGCCATAAAAATGGACCAGCTGGCTGAGGTCAACGGTGCAGAGTGTTTTGTTCTAGGTTAGCAACATGGATTTCATCCCTGGAAAATGTGATTCTTGAAGGGTTTATAGCACTTTCCGCCTGTGAAAGATGACGTGAGCAAGAGGCGAGACAGGCAGTGTGGTGACAGACACCGGGACCTGGATGTGGCTACGGAGTGATGGGGCACGGAGGTGAGGGCCAGTGAGCCTGGCCGGTCGGACAGGAATGTACCCACTCTGCTTGAGAAGCCAGCTCCAGATTTCAAAAGCCTTTTCTATTTCCAGGCCCTGAATTCATGGTCCTCGGCCACCTCCCACAGGCGGCCTCCCACTTCCCAAGACAGTAAATAACTGGTCTATTTGGGTGTGGACACTGACATGACAGGACTATCCTGGCTGAGGCACATGCAGCTTCTGTAAAAACAGTTCGGCTGGTGGTGGTGGCAGTGATGGGGGAGTGAGAGTGAGTGTGTGTGTGTCTGTCTGTGTGTGTGTGTGATTCTTTCTCTACCTCCTTGAGAGAACAATTTTAAAAAGCTATCTGTCTGATCCTGAATTTACTGTACAATAAAGGTATTAACAATAACTGCCACACCTGATTCACAGGGCCGCTGAGATGCGCAAAAAGATAATCCATGCGAAAGTCCCTGGGAACCTTAAAGTCCTGCAACAAAGGTCAGGTAGACTTGTTAACACACTCCATTCATTCAGCAACAGCTTCACTGAGATGAAGCGGTACTTGAGCCCTGACAAAGTGCTCAGCCAAGAGTGACCAGAAGCAGGATCTTGGGTCAAACACTAACACAAATCAGAAATGCACAGTTGGTGACGAGGTGCTCATCCCTTTAATATGTGTTACTATGTAAAATTCTGTAACTTCCTGAAAAAGCATGGCAGTGAGCAGGGGATACACTCTCAGACCCATTGCCCTTCATCCCTTCTCAAATATGCAGAGACAATCACATGGGGGAGGCCTGACCAAGCCTTCCAGCGTCCTGCAAGCAGAAATCCTGCCATTTCTCAGCCACCCATTCCCTGCTTCTGAGCTAGCTGCCTAGCAATCCGGGGTCTGCTCAACTCTACATCAGAGGGATACATGCTGCTAGGAAAATGCTGCCAGGGAGTTTCCACTTGGGCATTGGCTCACTGTCCTTCATCAGGCAGGGAAGAATGTTCTGCAGCATTCCAAGATGCAAGGAATAAAAAAAAGCAAAGGTTTACCACAGAGAGAGCGCACCAAAAGCCCCAATAAAAGGAAATCGTTTGACTTAAAATTTTCAAGAGTTTAACCTTAAGACCTGAAGCCAACAATTTTGCAGAATTACAGAAGTTCCAGAAGTATTAGTAATCCGACAAAATGAGCTGTGTTCAGTCAGGCAATATTCTAAGAACAATGCCTTCAAATTACAACATTTGTTATTTTTACAAGTGTGAAAGGAAATTAAGCCTCCCAGAAGAATTTGCTATGAACTGAAAGGATCAGTGACATTTTCAGCCTGCTGGTGAAAGCCAGGAGAGCAAAAAAATATGAGACCCATCTATACAGGTGGAACAGGCATGCAACATGGCAAATTGAAGAACCAGCACAGCCCTCCCAATGATTCCACTTGAATCTGTTAGGAAGCCCATCTGTACCTCACCTATAATGCCTACCTAAATAGTTTTTAAATGTCTTGCTTCAGTCCTATAAAAGCACTCTAAAATACCTGTCTCTAAGAGAATTTCTGTTCCAGAACCTGTCTATGGGACTTATTTTGGGCTCGTAAAGTTCAAGTTATATCTTGGTCAGCACCTTCCTTTGCTTATGATGGATAAAAAGACTTTCACGTCTCCCTCCTAAAGATGATGTCAGATTTAAAAGAAGCAAGATGTATTAAAGCATCAGCAAGTGCCTGTGACAAAATAAGTATTCAACAAATGGCTGTTTCCTGCTTGTTTATAAAATTCCCTCACACTGGCTGCCAAAGGCTTTATTACCTCCATGTAGAGAAGGTGGGTGGAGAGGGCATCTGGAATGCTCTCTTTAAGATACAAAGAGGATACAGCAGACCTCAAGGAAGACAATAGGTTGTTCCCAATGACAAAATGGAAAATGCTTTTATTCTATAGTGATCCAGATTCAAAGCAAAATTCAGTTCAGTGTAAGGAGAATCCTGCCAGCGGTTTAGAAAAGTCCAAAAAAAAAAAAAAAAAACAAATAAGAGGCAAGTAAACTCTTACAAGAGGGAAAAGC